ATTTCCTAATTACACTGGATTTGCACTATGAATTTATGCTAAATACCTGGAAGAGAATCAAAATACAAATTATGGAATGATATAGTAACTTCTTTGAGCTTCTTTTACTGATGTCCAAGATGGGTTTTTCCAACTCCATCTCATCGAAAATGGGGGTGATCGGAGGGGAAAAATAAGAACTGGTTCATCTCATAGAGACTAACGCCCTGATATGTGATATTCTTCTTTGTATTAGCCTCTAACTTATTTTTGAATTCTTTGCAGTTGCTACTCCTAAGCAGATCAGAGATCTTATGCAAGTTGACGGTCTCTCAAATGATGAAGTCAAGAGTCATTTGCAGGTGGGGTTTCTACTTTGATTTAGCTTAGTTCTCTCTAGTATCCTTCATTTGTAGATAGACCTCGAAACTGCTATGTGGATCTTCCCCGGGGCAGTTTCAGATAGACCTAGAAAACTATGAATTATCATAATTATTGTTTTTGTCATTTCAGAAATATCGGCTTCATACTCGAAAAGTTCCTCCTACAACAAACATCTCATCGAATCAACCCGTTGTACTCGGAGGTCAATGGATTTCCCATGAACAGCACGGTGAATCCTCTAAGCAAAGCAATTCCCAGTCTGGTTCTCCTCAGGGTCCTCTACAGTTAGCTGGATCGTCTCGAGGGACTTCTATGACCAGAGGAAATAGCATCGAAGACGAAGATGATGAAAAGTCAGAGAGCCACAGTTGGAAAAGTCGCATTCACTCGTGTGGAAGAGACGATGTATAGATGCCCACCATGAGTTTGCAGAAAAAATAGCATACCTGGGAGGAGTTATATCACTTATAAACTCAAAATATGATATACATACATAATTATGATTTTTTTTTATGCAGACTATGTGGAATTTTGCAGGACTAGATTTCCTATCTATCCATTTTTGTTTGAGTTGTTGACTATTCCTATGTTTCAGCATGAAGAACTTCAAGTTAATTCCATTTCTTGAAATGATGAACAAAATGGTTTTTCGGTTTTTCAGGCGCAAACAATCAAACGTCTGGATACGAGAAGTTAAAATTTTGTTCATTGTATTGTTTAATCTTATCTAATATTCAGTACTATATATCTCACCATGTCCGACGATGTGAAGAAAAACCATAGGTCTCATTTATTTCTTGTCAACTATCTCTGTAATTGACCTGCAATGGAATCATTCTACAGGTACCCTTCTTGGCCATATGCTGGCTTAAAAGCATTTTTTTTTTTTCCCTTTTTTTCTGTACTTTCAAAATGTTGAATTCTTGACAAGATAAGAACTTATCTCTAAGATAAGCAAGATTTCTGCTTAATTATTTATGCCGCCACTTAATTAAACTAATCATTCTTACTTCTTGTTTCAAGCAGAGGGGATTAGTCCACAGTTTTTTGTATTTTTCATATGTCTACAGGAATTCTATTTTTAGCTGTTGGACTCCAATTTTGTTTCTCCCCTTCTGTCTATGCCATTAAAAGTTGTTTGGGGAATCAAAACATATATTAAAAAAAATTCCCAATTGTTGGAATCTTTACATATATAATATGTAGAATGGGGTTCATGAACAGAGAGAAGAATCTTGATTTGT